AGGAATGCCTTTATGCAGCTTCAATACAGCACAAAGACATAACCTCAGGAGGAATAGTATCAAGTTTGTTACATTTACACATGGGTAGACATTTGACAAACTCGTGTTTCACGCTCATGTTTCAGTAACAGCCATGGTAGCCTAAAGAGATAAGCAATGCACTGTCCAGTAAGTTTCTAAGAAAAGTCATGACCTTTTGTTAGGTCAGAACAACATTTCAGAAGACAATTGAACCGATGAAGTGGCGCAATACTGCTTCCTCTCAACAATACGCCCTTGCCATTTCCTTTAAAAAACTTCGGTGCCAAACCAGCCAAGAGCTGACTTAGCCAGTGTCAGAGCCAAGTCAGCTCATCAAGGAGACAGCAAATACCAGCGCATAAAAAGCAGCGTACAGCACTGTACGTCTCTGAGCAAAAGGAATGGGGACACCTCAGCCCCGCTAACCTCTAAAATGAAGCCCAGATGACTTCTAAGAGCTTATGTGGGGAAGAGAAAAACAAGCTTTTGAACAGCAAACCCCATCTGCAGATCTGAAATAGAAGTCAGACTGCAAGACTAGCTGAAAACAATTGCTCTGCATTTAACTTCGTTCAGCTAATGAATTATACAATTTGAAAGCAGTGAGTGATTCTCAGCTCCCCCTTGTGCTCCACAGGTACCAAAGGGAGAGGTGATAAGGCTACTGACCACCTGCAGTAGAGACAAAAACAATTCATTATCTCCCAGGTCACAGAGAGGGGAATAGCCATGGGGGAAATACATTTTAGATGAGAGTTGAAGCAGTATCATAAATATTTTTAAGGCAATCTGTACCAGCTGCTGTACAGTGGAACACCACATCCAGTCTGCACCAGGCACTTCTCGCTTAGAGCCAAATGTAGTCATAAATTTTAACTCCATTATTCTCCTGACCAAAGAATATTGCAGAAGGCTGAACTCTTCACCAAGCCACCTCATTTTTTGGAGCCCCACTTCTTTCACCAAGGGGCTTCCAGATGCTGCCGTTCTTGGCTGAGGCCCATACTTGCTTCTGTAATCCCTTGGGCAGGCCCAGCTGAGAGCAGGTAAGCTCCTTAGCCAAAGCTGAGGCTAAACGCCTACCCTATATTCCAGCTCTGGTACGCTGATTAGTCATTTCCTAATTACAGAATTCTTTAGTCAAATTGGAGACATATTCTAAGAACCTACCATTAAATAAACAAAAGGCACAAAGTGAAATTAATTTTAGGATTAGATCTATCATCAGAGACTATTTTCCATGGCATACTAGGTTTGACAGGATTTTGCTATTTTATTGAAACATGCATAATTTTAGTACTCTTGATAGCCTTTGTTAAAAAAAAATTGGGATGAAAAAATTGTAGCTTCCACAGGACCCAGACAGGCATCCAGATGTTTTTGGTTGTTTCTTTTTCTTTTTTTTTTTTAAACAAATGTGTTTTCAATAAGTGAAAATGAATGCTAGTTTGATTGACAACATTTAATTATGCACCAATACTGGTATGTTCAAAACAAAACACTACAGTGCTTTGTAAAAGATTTACAATAGTTGACATACTCAACAGGCTATGAGTAGGTCAGCATAGAAATAGGCTGTGCCTGAGCTGTCTCAGTTGTTTCTGGTTAATTATCCTTCTAGAATAGTCAAATTACTCTTCTGATGTGGTCAGTAAGAAATTAGGATCCTTTTTTCCAAGTATATCTCACAATGATAACTTATGCCCACCTCACTTTCAGACAAAATTAACACAGCAAACCCCCACCCCCCCACCCCCCCCGTGAAATCTGTCCAGAAAGTAAGAGCAGAAGACAGCACCACACTAGCTAAGCAGAACACTGCAAGTAGATGAAATGTATGCTTTGCATACTGCAGTTTCCTGCTCGGCAGTTTGCAGGTGAAGCTTAAGATCTGGGTGCTGAACTTTAAAGCCCTGGCTAACTAAGGACTGATCAGTCTAACAAATTATTGTTTTCCCTATGGAAAATTCCCACAACTATGTTTTTCAGAAGTATGAATGTGCTTGTTTCATTACAGTACAGATAGTCATTGTCTATAAAAGAACATTTGTGTTAGCCAGAAGTACTGCAGCCTAGATCTTCTGAGTTTGATAGGACATTTAGCAAAGTAAAAGTTGCAAAACATGATATACAACTTCCTGGGCCCTTTCTTTATTCTGAGGGGCTGCTACTGACTCTCCTGTCTATATCAGTGGAATTTTCTTCTGAGCATCATGTTTTTAAAATATTCAGTGGTGGCCTAATACTGTTTCTACCACTAGAGTCTGAATACTTCTGTTCACAGACAAGCCTAGCTATCTACATTATTGGAGTTATTCCTTAGAATTCCAGTTACACTATTTGATTGTTGTGTGAACAAAGAATGTTGACAAACTTTCACAGCCTGAGCAATCAGAGATCAACTACCCCTCCTTTTTTTTTTTTTTAGTGTGTAAAAGGATTAGGCAGGTGTTTAAGAGCTTAACATAACTATGATGAAGTTTTCTATAACTGTATGCCTTTTCAGGTTGCATTTAAATCTTATGAACATGATGCTTGCAAGTTGCTTGTGCAAACTGCGATTTTTAAATCCTTGTGCTTCAATTGCTCTTCTCAGAATGGAAAGTCTATTTATTTCTTTCACATAATTCCATTAAAAAAATACAGATAGCTTCCCTCAATATTCTGTTTTGTAGCTTATTGTTTAATTGCCTATGGTAGTTACACAGAAAGAAACGACAAGTTTCCCCATGAAAATTAGGACAAAATTATCTCAAATGCTGTTAAACAAGCTGTAATGTTAAATCTTTTTCACCCATGCAAAATGCTCATGTTCTACTCCTTATGTGCAAATATTTTATACCTTACAATCATAGAAATACTGGTTGAAACAGTCCTCTGGAGGTCCCTAGCCAACCTGCTGCTCCAAGTGAGATTGCCACCAGCACATCATCATCCATGACTTTGGCTGAGTCTTGGAAACACCTAAGGATAGGGATCCCACAGCCTCTGTGGGCAACGAGTTCTACTGCTGCACTAACCATCCGGTGAAAAAGCTTTTCCTAATTTCTAGTCTGAACTTCTGCCTTTTTATTTCATTGAAGAGCATCATTAGGATTTTTTAAATTATCAGTCATAATAAAGGTGAGAAAGATTTTGTATATGGATTAGTAGCTAAATTAATCTTTAACAATATTGGGCAATTTATCGCTTTCTCAAATTCCCATCCCCAAAACAATTTCAAATCATGGTACTTGTTACGTTGTTCTTTCACATGATTGCAAAAGATGCAAGTGATTGTAAATCACTTCCTGTTTTATCAATACTTTGACCTTTCAGTTTTTGGACAAGAGTTTAGATCTTACCATTTTATATTAATGATGGCTCTATACCCACACCTGGCTGCACTCATCTATTATAATTCATAACAGACTGTGCAGAAGCATAAAGCAGATCAACTTTAATCAAACATAAAATCACATCCTGCTACCAGATGTAAGGTGTACCTTCGGAAACAAAGTGATATCAATCATAACATAGAACAAAACATGTGTTAACATCTTTTTGTTGAAATAACCACCCAAATAATTTTTAAAATAGTTTCAGAGAAGCTGATGGGTCTGAAAAGGAAGTCAGTGGCTGCAATTCTCAGCCAACTATCTTAAGATAGGCCTTGTTTCATTGTTCCCGTCCTTGAAAGCTTCATGCTGGGCTGTGCATATGACTTCTTGCTTAGCCTCTTGGTCAGTTCATGGTTCAATTTGGGCACAAACATCTGTTTAAGCTACAAACAATAAAGTGTAAAAAAACCATAATGGATGCATAAAAGGCATAAAGCTGAAAAGACTTCTTTAAAGTTTTAAAGGTATACACATCCATAACTCCAGAAGCACACATGTCATTTAAAAGTTAGAACAAAGCTGACTTTGTAGTTATTTCCAAGGAGGGAATCTCCCACTCTAAAGTAAACCATGCTGCTGAAAGGCCAAAGAGCAAAGATACATGGAATTGCAAGAGGGGTGTGATACTTATTCATAGTACTTATTACAGTATTAATCCCAACAGATACTTGAGGTCTGCTAGATATACAGAACATTGTTTCATCAGACTGCATTTGGACAGATGATAATCTACAAACAAAATAGTTGCAATAAAGAGGCATAAATTTAATAAACGGAACTGAAATCACAAGCTTAGCTAAAGGTAAATGTATGAAAATGTTAGCAACCTCATTATAATTCTTACGCAAGCATGTGAAGTTTTTGGCAAACTTACAGTTACCCCAGAGCAGCAATGCACCACGTGATAAAAGCTAGTAAGTTTTTTCTTCCTTATAAACATAAGTTGTAATGAAAAATCTCTCTATATTCTATATAAAGAGTAATGACTTTTAAGAATCTTTTGGGTTCTAGTTAATACATCTCATGTGTCAGAAACTTAGTGGTTTCCTTGCCAAGCTATGCACATGCCCCCATATGAAACAGCAATGGTGGAATAGGCAAAACGATGAAAACCAGGTTCTTGCTATCGAATTTAGTGAAAATTCACCATTTGTTTTTCTTGTAAGTCACTAATTTTGCCATGTCAACTGCAAATTTAATTATAAATTTCTGCTAGACAAGAAAACCTGAATGGCTCTAGTGATTATTTTGACTTGTAAAAAAATGTATTTTTTAATGAGGACTGCATTGCCAAAATTTTAGGGCAGCTTTTTTCACTTTCTTTAATTTTGAGAGAAAATATTGGTATAGGTAAGATAAAGAAACAGAAGCTACTGCTGGAAGAGAAAACACTCTCAAGCATGAACTCAAGCACGAACAAAATTACCATATCAGTCTACTCATGCTTGCATTTGCATGAAAAAACCCACAGATGAGTGGCTAAACTCCTGGCCTGGGATTTAGGAGACCACTGGTTATGCTCTTCTATGCCAATCTGAAAAATCAAAGCCATTTTCCCTTCAGGAAAAAATCATATTTTAACATTTTGAAAAAATTTGGGTTTTTTTGAGGACAAGAATACCCCTAAAGATCTACCATGGGTCTATTGCTGCTATTACTCCCTATATAATTGGGTCTATTCCAACTTGTACAAGTAATTAAACATAAATTGAGCTAGAAGACAAAGTGATTTATTAGATCACTGATTGAGATGCTGCAGATTAGGGAGATGCAAGCCTGTGGTCTGATTTGAGATGCAGTCACTGGATACCTTAGCTTCAGTAGGAAAAAAAAATGTCTTCAGGATGAGCAGCACATGGCAGGGAGAGACGCAGGGAATTTCTTCTTTCTGTGCCATGTGTGCCATATCCTGTCCAGCTATCCCCACAGTGGTTCTCATACTGCTTTTTTCTACCAAACAGAAAGCTGGGCCAGACTAGTTCTCTGTAGATTGTAGTAGTGGCAGAATACCAAATACAAAAAGTAAAGAAATGTTGGGTAGAGACAAAGAGATTTATTTCACATATAAAGTAAACATAGGACTAGGATAACCTCTAGACTGAGCAGGGGACTGCAAATAAATTAAATTGCTGAGTTTCAAAGATGGGCATGACTTGTGAAAAGACCTAAGGGTCCTCTGCATAAGAATTACATTTCTTATTTAGGAGCAAAAGATGCAAGCAAGCAAACATAAATACTATGCTTTTTGAAACACTTAACAAGTCCTCCGATACAGTGAGTCGCTTTTGTGAAGGCACTTTTCCACTTCATTTTTCCAAGCAACTGTTTAGAGATGGGTGGTTTTTTCAGCCTCCTGCACACTTGTGCAAGCACGGAGAGGAGCTGCACAGGAACCACATCCACGTTCATTTTGGATGCGTGCCTCTTCCTAGCACTCTGTCAAGTACAGAGCTGGAAAAAGCACGTCCCTTATTTCCATCCACCTTGCTCTTTACTCAGTTCATTTCCTAATGAAAGGTCTCCCTAGACTCCGCATTATACCTGGAGTCGCAGCGGGGCTGCTCCGCAGATGGAAGCCTCTGCTGACCACCTCTGCTACCAGCAGCGCCACCTCCCGCTCACACACGGGAGTACCTCCCTCTCCTCCGCAGATGAGGCGAGATGCAGATGCGGCCTGCGCCGGTGTTCCGCGCCCCGGGTGCCCCCCTCCTCC